TACCAAGATAATGTCCCAGCAATGGTTGGGTTTTCATCTTTCCAAAGAAGGGCAGATTTCCATAATAACAGGCTGGATTAACGATGCTGAATATAAGCCACAGGCCCACCCCACTGTTCCTTCCCTCTAGGTTCTCTGCCACACCTGCCAAATAACCCTCCTGGGCGAGACGGTCCACCAACCTCTCTTACCTGCCACTAAAGAGGCAGACTTGTCAGTGACTGAGTCCTGGACCCCTGGAAATCAAGCCCTGCTACCCTCACAGTCACAAGCCTGGATGGGTGTCCTCCAGGACTCCAACCTAGGAGTATGCTGGGGGAGCACTTGGGATCAGCCTCTAAAGAACCCCCACCGGGACCCAGCATCTTCTGAGCTCATCCAAGCAGAGGGTCAGGTTAGGATAAATGCCAGACTGCAGGTACCTTGTTGTTCTTGGTCCTGGACCGCAGGGCACCAGGCCTGGCGCCACGCCGTAAGGCTGGTGGCTTTCAGAATGGTGTTAGGGGGACAGGAGTGGCAGGTTCCTGAATCTCGCTCAATATAGTAACCAGCAGGACAAGAGGTGGGCAGGAGGAGCCCACATCAGAGGCTTCTAGAGCACAGGGACGGCAGTAGGAGGCCACGCCATTCATTAAATTGGTGACATTGATGGAGTAGATCTTGGCAACGTCATTGGTGTATTTCCTGCTCTGGAGACAAGTAAACAAGAGGGGAGAGGGGAGAGGCCTGAGACAGCAGCAACAATTGAGGCTTCTAGAAAGAGCAAGGTAGTTATCTTCCATCCTGTGATACTCAAGAAGAATCTTAGAAGCATCCGACTCTTTACTCACTTACCAGTAGCTCTTTATATGTATTTGGTGCATCTTTAAAATGAAGACTGAACCATTTATAGGACATATAAAATATTAAGTACCATGGGGAAAATACATAATATATACTGCTTTATGAAAAAAGCAAGTTTTCTCCTTGTAAAAGAGGCAAAAATGTATTTGTACAGAAACAAACAGTGTATAGGAGATGGTCCAGATGTTAACTGGTTATCTCTGGGTACTAGGATTATGGCTGATTTTATTTCTTATTTTTGTTTATTCTATATTCTGAGTCTTCAGGCAGATCACCTGAGGTTAGGAGTTCGAGACCAGCCTGGCCAACATGGTGAAACCCTGTTTCTACTAAAAATAGAAAAATTAGCCGGGCATGGTGGCACACGTGTGTAGTCCCAGCTACTCGGGAGGCTGAGGCAGGAGAATTACTTGAACCCAGGGGGCAGTGGTTGCAGTGAACCGAGATCGTGCCACTGCACTCCAGCCTGGACAACAGAGCAAGACTCCATCTAAAAAAAGTTACAATATAAAGTGCATCTGGAGCATCTCTTCTTTGGTTCTTTTGGTGGTAAGGCCTTTACATCATAGCGCTCTGACCCATCTTCTGCAGCATGCAAAGAAGTTGATGGGTGTTTATATAGAGAACATGTCAAGAAAGAAACTAATCTATGAAAGATTAGAGATAGGTGTCTCTATCTTGTTTTCAGAAGTCTTCGAAGAAGTTAAAATGAAGCCTCAGAAGTAACAGGTCATGATCACTTAGGAAATAAGACTGAATAAAGCAGGCTCCATGTAGCAAAAGTGTCATTCAGTGAATTATGGAGAGCAACGAAGGTGGTGATTTGGGGAAATGGTGTATTTTTTTCTCTACTCCTTTCCTGTTTAGAAATGCTTATGGTGTACTGCCACACTACAGATCCTTAGTTCAAAGACAGAAGAACTCTTTATTTTATTGTATTGTAAAGGTTTCCTTCAGTTTTCAAGCTCATCTACTTCTTACAATCTAGAGAAAAAAAAAAAAAGCTGAGACACCAGATTTAGCACTTTTTTTTTGTTCTTTTTTTTTGAGGCGGAGTCTCACTCTGTCGCCAGGCTAGAGTGCAGTGGCATAATCTCCGCTCACTGCAACCTCTGCCACCCGGGTCCAAGCGATTCTCCTGTCTCAGCCTCCCAAGTAGCTGGGACTACAGGCGTGCGCCACCATGTCCAGCTAATTTTTGTGTTTTTAGTAGAGACAGGGTTTCACCATGTTGGCCAGGATGGTCTCAATCTCTTGACCTCATGATCCACCTGCCTCGGCCTCCCAAAGTGCTGGGATTACAAGTGTGAGCCACTGCACCTGGCCAGCACCATTTATAATAAAATGTATAACACTGAAAATGTTGGCTGGGCACAGTGGCTCACCCCTGTAATCCCAACACTCTGGGAGATTGAGGCAGGAGGATTGCTTGAGCCCAGGAAGTCAAGGCTTTAGTGAACTATGATTTCACCATTGCCTGGGCAATAGATCAAGACCCTGCCTCAAAAGAAAAGAAAAGAAAACAAAACAATCAAATCTGTCTCGTCATTAGACCTGGGATGAATCATTCCCCTGCAACATACCATTGGAACGCTGAAAATTTAGATGTAAAAAAGCCTTCCCTATTCCCTTCTGGGAATTCCTCTGTGACCACTCCCTTTTTCCCACTTCTTCCTCCCCACTCACCCACCAGGGTCGGAAAATGTCTGTGTGCACCGACAATGTCACTGACCTCCGGATTCCTGAGGGTGAGTCAGGGTTCTCCAAATCTATCACAGCCTACGTCTGCCAGGCAGTCATCATCCCCCCAGAGGTGACAGGCTACAAGGCCGGGGTTTCCTCACAGCCTGTCAGCCTTGCTGACCGACTTATTGGTGAGTAACTCTGCTGCCTCAGCCTTTTGAGAGAGAGAGAGAGAGTGCGTGTGTGTGTGTATGTGTAAGAGAGTGTGAGGTTACCAGGCTGGGAGGTAAAAGGCCCCACATGAGGGGCCCAACCTCTTGACCTGTGTTTTCTATTCCACTCTGTGTGCAAAGTGCTCCCGGGGACTCTGACAAACCCTTGTTTCACCCTTTCATAAGTCAATCAGGGATGTGATGAGATGAAGTGAGGTTGGATGTTGAAGGTATTGGAAGAATTGAAGTGGTTGCCAGCTAATGCTACTAGCGAGAACTAATTAGGAGCTCTAATTTGGCAGGGGTGACAACAGATATGACTCTGGATGGAATCACCTCCCCCGCTGAACTTTTCCACCCGGAGTCCTTGGGAATACCGGACGTGATCTTCTTTTATAGGTGAAGATGAGAGGCTAGGCTACTGCAAGTGAAACCTAGGACTCCTCCATAATTTCTGCTGCATCCCTCCCTCTCTAGTCACCTACTCCTTATCAAGCCAGAACATGTCTGAGGTCTAGCAGATCTGCCCAGTCATGATAGCTAAAGGCTGGGAATTTAGCTATCTAATCTGGGAGTTTAGTTATCTGGATCAGGAACTCCTGATCCCAGCTTCTTGGATATTATTGGAGCAGATCTGCCCTAGAGGCAAGGAGAAATATTGGATGATCTGTAGTGGACTTCCCTTCCAGCCTAAGCAGGCTCCAGTGGATGCTAGCCATGACTTTCCTAAACCAGGGCATTTCCCCCTTGACTACATATTGTTGATCCCCACCCTTTCCATGTATAAACCAAGGCCTGTGCACTCCCTGTGTGCCAGGCTAAAGCCCAAGTCCCGACTTCCCCAGCAAGGGAATTGCTCCATGCGGATTTCACTTGGTGGCTGTCCAGGAACACAGCTGAGTGACTCATTCCCCCATGGGACTGGCTTTCTCTGCAGGTCCAATGATGTGACCCAGTCCTGCAGTTCTGGGAGATCAACCACCATCCGTGTCAGGTGCAGTCCACAGAAAACTGTCCCTGGAAGTTTGTCGCTGCCAGGGTAAGCCCTGCAAAGGGGTGTGACGAAGGTCAAAATCTCCCTTCCTTGAAGTCATTCCATCCTGAGATCCAGAGATTAGTGAAAAGGAGAAAAAAGAAAAGAGTTTGAGATCCACTAATGGGCTCTTAGGGGCAGAGTCATGGCCCCAGACCCTCAATCTTCATATGGCAAGAATGGGGTAGAAGGAAGAGTGAAAGCTGCTCTCATATTCCTGGTCCATTATGGTGGCAGCTGCGCAGCATTGTAACCAACAGCTCGGCTGAGAGCCAGATTGAATCATCTCCTCCACTAACTAGCTATGTTATCATGGCTACATTTCTTACCGTCTTTAGGCCTCTTGTTTCCTTATCTGTAAAAATGGGTGTAATGCTAAATTCCCTCAGCGGGTTGTTTTGAGGATGAAATGAGACAAGGAGACTTTAGGACGTTTCATGATCTCTGGCTATTATGAGGATTAATAAAGGTTTAGGGATCCTAGGAATCTCTCTGCAATGAAAATACCCAGTTCTGAGTTTAATAGCTGAGTGAACTAAATCAAAAATTTCCAAATGAATATGACCACAGGACACCCCCTCCCCTCCCCGCATAACAGCAACTAACATCTTGACGGGCATTGGCGTCTCGAGGAAGACATTTTGGATATGCTGCGCCTAAACAACTCACTGGGGAGATGGGGAGCAGAGCAGGGCGTCTTGACCCAGTAGTGGTGTCTGAGTGTCAAATCCCTGTTCTTGCCGTTGTAAACATCACAATAAAGTACATAACGGGTATCCATGACCGGAAGCTCATTCCTGAACCCCACCTCAACTCCAATCCCATCGCCAGGAAGCTGCATCAAAGTGGCTATTGCAAATGTCACAAGTCTGTGGGGAGGACGGGAACCTCAAAGAGGTTGGTGGGACAGCCACGCTAGAGCTCAGACACCTTACAATAGCTCTCATACGATGTCAGCAAAAACATAAACGGGCAGAGGGTGGAGAGCCCATTGGAGGCCAGGAAGGCCTCTTATCAGTGAAATCAGAGATGAAAACCTGTGTTAAGGACTAGTTGGAAGGATCCTGGTAGGGCTAACGGTTTGGGCAGGGAGAGGGTGAATCAGGCAAGCTATGAGACAACAGGCCTCCAACCAGATCTTCCCCACCAGTCCAGCCAGTGAGAGCTCAGGCCTCTTTTCTGCTTTGCTAGAACGTGCTCGGATGGGACCTGTGATGGCTGCAACTTCCACTTCCTGTGGGAGAGTGCGGCTGCTTGCCCGCTCTGCTCAGTGGCTGACTACCACGCTATCGTCAGCAGCTGTGTGGCTGGGATCCAGGTGGGTTTCCTTCTGATCGGGCACTCCCATGAGAGAAGGGAATGAGAGATCTGAGTTCCTTGTTTTTCTCCCCAACAGAAGACTACTTACGTGTGGCGAGAACCCAAGCTATGCTCTGGTGGCATTTCTCTGCCTGAGCAGAGAGTCACCATCTGCAAAACCATAGATTTCTGGCTGAAAGTGGGCATCTCTGCAGGCACCTGTACTGCCATCCTGCTCACCGTCTTGACTTGCTACTTTTGGAAAAAGAATCAAAAGTACATGATGCGGTACTGGAGTTTGGGGATGGACAGGGTTGGATTATTGATCAGGGAGAATATCTGAAAGTATAAATTAATGGGGTTTTTCTCTGGAATTGGCTACAGACTCTGTGACTCTGGCCAGAGACTTGTTGAACCACTTATCCAGTGCATGGTGTGGTTATCCTGACTCCTGAACAGGGATGGTACCACGTGGCAGTCTATAAACGGATGTTAAATTCTCAAAAGCAAAGAGTATCCTAAATTTGTTATTCTTAACAATACAGAGAATGACATTAAGATTTTGATATTTCTATTAAACTTTGAGATCACAGAAACAGGCTGAAGGAACAAAGATCACTGAACTGGGAACCAAGATTCCTTCTAGTCCCGCAGCCCTGACACCGTTTTACCTGCTTCAGTCTCCTTACCCATGGCATGGGAATAGGACCTGTTTGTAGCCCAACTTCTCTACCTCTTTCCCCCTTATTCGCACGTTTTGGGATCCTTGTCTTTCCCATCCTCCTGTTTTATAGACTAGAGTACAAGTACTCCAAGCTGGTGATGAATGCTACCCTCAAGGACTGTGACCTGCCAGCAGCTGACAGCTGTGCCATCATGGAAGGCGAGGATGTGGAAGACGACCTCATCTTTACCAGCAAGAAGTCACTCTTTGGGAAGATCAAATCATTTACCTCCAAGGTAGGGGGCCTGGCCAGTGCACTGAGGTCAGCCTGGAGGGCTGGAGGAGACACTGCTCCTCAGACACTGAATGGTCCTGTACCGTTCAGGGATGGGCACCCTGCTCCCCACGCCCCATACAATTCCATTTCCCCACTCTGAAAATCCTGCCTTCTGCCTTCTGTATTTCTACACCAATACTCTTTCCCCCCGGGGCCCAAGGCTGCTCTTGATCAGGCTCCTTCTCTCTCAACATCTCAACATGTACTCCAGTTAGTGAGCTGCTTGGGCCCTCTCACTTCCAGAAGGAGTACTGAACCATCCATGTTGTAAGAATAATCCCCCACCCCTTTTTTTATTTTCACTGAAAGGGGGAAAAGATGATCTCTGGGATCAACTTCTGATAGAAGTCAGGCTCTCCTTTGACCAGTGGGAGGCGCTGTCCTCCAGTTGTCTGGGTCCAGTCCTTTGAGAGCTGAATCATAGTTCAGTCTCAGCTGTTCCCCACTGAGCAATTCTGAGCTGGGAGGGCTAGGTGAGTTTGTGTGGGTGGGTGAGTGAGTATGAAGCTCATAAATGCAATACAGACAATACTGTCACCGGGCATGGGGCCAGCTGAGAGCATTCAAGCACCTCCTCCAGGACTATAGCCCTCTGAAGCCCCACTCTGCCAGTGCCCATATCTGACTACTGCTCTGAACCAGTTCATCCCAATAGGAGTGGGTGGGGAGGGTAGAAAGAGGAAGGAGTGTATTGGGAGGTGGTGAAGAGAAGGACCGTGCTTGGGTGTTCAGATTGCTGAGTCTTGTTTCCTTTGTGCTGACCTGCTAGGGAGACTCCCTTGGCCTCCTTAGACTGCGAGTTTTTTTTTAAACCAATGGGAGAACAGTTCACCCTGGGACTCTTGAGTCTATCTGGGACTGCTAGAATTCAGCAAAGGTGCAAAGCAGGGGAGTTTTAAGATTTTTGGCTCATGCCTGTAATCCCAGCACTTTGGGAGGCCCAGGCTGGAGGATCTCTTGAGGCTGGGAGTTCAGGATCAGCCTAGGCAACATAGCAAGACCCCATCGCTACAAAAAATAAAAAACAATTAGCTGGGTGTGGTGGAGCATGCCTGTAGTCTCAGTTACTTGGGAGGCTGAGGGGGGAGGATTACTTGAGCCCAGGAGTTGGAGGCTGCAGTGAGCTATGATTGTGCCACTGCACTCCAGCCTGGGCAACAGAGCGAGACTCTGTCTCTAAAAAACATGTATTTATTTATGTATGTATGTATTTATTTATTTATTGAGACAGAGTCTTGCTCTGTTTCCCAGGCTGGAGTGCAGTTGCGTGATCTCAGCTCACTGCAACCTCCACCTCCCGGGTTCAAGCATTTCTCCTGCCTTAGCCTCCCTAGATGCTAGGACTACAGGTGCATTCCACCACACCTGGCTAATTTTTTTTTTTTGTATTTTTAGTAGAGAGAGATTTCCGCATGTCAGCCAGGCTGGTCTTGAATTCCTGACCTCAGGTGATCTGCCTGCTTCGGCTTCCCAAAGTGCTAGAATTACAGGCGTGAGCCACTGTGCCTGGCCAAAAACATTTTTTTGAAAGAAAAAAATATTTTCTTTGTTTTTTTTGAGATGGAGTTTCGCTCTTGTCGCCCAGGCTGGAGTGCAGTGGTATGATCTTGGCTTACTGCAACCTCTGCCCCTGGGTTCAAGTGATTCTCCTTCCTCAGCCTCCTGAGTAGCTGGGATTACATGCGCCTGCCACTATGCCTGGCTAATTTTTGTATTTTCAGTAGAGATGGGGTCTCACCATGTGAGACCTGGCTAATTTTTTTTTTTTTTGTATTTTTAGTAGAGAGAGATTTCCGCATGTCAGCCAGGCTGGTCTTGAACTCCTAACCTCAGGTGATCCACCTGCCTTGGCCTCCCAAGTGCTGGGATTACAGGCATGAGCCATCACACCCGGCCTAAAAGAAAAAGATGTTTATTGTTCTCCAACTGACGCTGAAGGGAGCAAGCAGAATAGAGGGTATCTAATTTCTGTATTTCCACAAAGCCACTGAAACAGTAATTTCATAAGGGTTCCTTCTGTCACCTATTTTCCATTTCTCTCCTTTGTCCCCAAACTTGCCCCTGTGCAGCAGCCAGCTCCTGTCACCATCTCTCTTTCAGAGGACTCCTGATGGATTTGACTCAGTGCCGCTGAAGACATCCTCAGGAGGCCCAGACATGGACCTGTGAGAGGCACTGCCTGCCTCACCTGCCTCCTCACCTTGCATAGCACCTTTGCAAGCCTGTGGCGATTTGGGTGCCAGCATCCTGCAACACCCACTGCTGGAAATCTCTTCATTGTGGCCTTATCAGATGTTTGAATTTCAGATCTTTTTTTTATAGAGTACCCAAACCCTCCTTTCTGCTTGCCTCAAACCTGCCAAATATACCCACACTTTGTTTGTAAATTATGCCCTTGCTTGTATCTTGTTTCCCAAAATGGCCCATCCACCAGAGCCATAGCTTTGTCTGCTCATAATTCTTACAGCTCTGGAATGAAGATATTTCTCTCTTCTTAAGTATAGAAACTATTTCCTCTGTCCTCTAACCTAAGTGCAGAAACAGCTGGGAGCTTTCCTCGCATGCCCTCAGCTCATGATCTCTTTAGGAGAGAGGCTGGGTGAGGAGGGTGTCGGGGTTCCCTGGTGGACAATCTTCATAGCAGCCTGGATCCATTTCCCGTGGATAACCAGCTCAAAGGGAGTGAAATGGGTAGTCTGAGGGCAAGGTGAGTAAGGCCTGGGTAAGAAAAGGCTTGAAAAGCACAAAGAGAGGCAACAAGGAATGGTTTTGTTTTTGAGACAGGGTCTCGCTCTGTCACCTAGGCTGCAACAGTGGCGTAATCACTGTTCACTGCAGCCTCAATCTCTTGGGCTCAAGCTATCCTCCCACTTCAACCTCCCAAGTAGCTAGGACTACAAGTGTGCACCACCAGGCTCACTAATTTTTGTATTTTTTTTGTAGAGACCGGGTTTCACCATGTTGCTCAGGCTGGTCTCCAACTCCTGGGCTCAAGTGATCTGTCCGCATCAGCCTCTCAAAGTACTGGGATTACAGGCATAAGCCACTGCACTCAGCATTTTATTTGTTTTTTAAACCGGGTAACTCATTCTTTTCTCTTAAGTAAATGATAGATATTCTCACTGAAGCCAAAGGAAAAAGTTCATGAAGAAAATGCCCAAAGCCCTGTGGATACATCTCCCTATTTTTTTTAAACCTCCCACTATCACTCTATGACACTGAAAAGAACCAGGTAAGCCCCAAACCCAGATGTTCCAGCCTTATCCTCAATTGGGTTTACCCACAGAGATGGCAAACCCCTGTCAGTGAGGAAGATTCCCCATCCTTGAGTGCTCCCATCCTAGAAGTTTGGGCCATATTATGGAACAGGGGTCTCTTATTTGAAAAGAGCACAGGGAGGCCAAGATTTTAATGGGGCACTTTAGGGGATCCAGCCCACAATGGCATGGGCCTGCGGTGGCCGTGATATCTGCTTCTAAGCTTACCATCTGCTCAGGCACAGAATCAATGTCTAGACTGGCCACAAAAGAAACTGAATCCCAGGCCAATACCCCAGCAGCAGAATCAAACCAGTCTTCAAGGAAGGAAGGCTAGGAGAGTTTAACAAGATGTTCACCGGGCCCAGCATGGTGGCTCATACCTGTAATCCCAAGGCAGGATGGTCGCTTGAGCTCAGGAGTTCAAGACCAGCCTGGGCAACATAGTGAGACCCTATCTCTAAAACATTAAAAAATAAACAAGGTGTTCACCAAGCTGGGATACTTCTCACTTTTAAGCCCCTATCTTTCTCTCTCTTTTTTTTTTCATTCTCAATTGCTTTGTGTGATAAAAAACTAAAGAGACTTCTGGTCCAATTTCTGGCAACATCCCTTCTGAAAGGTGAGTAGAGTGGGTGTCTTCTATGCCTGTTTTCCCCAATTTTACACCAACTATTATCAATGAACTTTTAAGTACCTAGAACGGGTAAAACCAGAGCAAGACTTTAAATTACCTTCTTCTTGGGGCCCGGCGCAGTGGCTCACGCCTGTAATCCCAGCATTTTGGGAGGCCGAGGAGGGCGGATCATGAGGTCAGGAGATTGAGACCATCCTGACTAACATGGTGAAACCTCGTCTCTACTAAAAATACATAAATATTAGCCGGGCGTGGTGGTGGGCACCTGTAGTCCCAGCTACTCGGGAGGCTGAGGCAGGAGAATAGCGTGAACCCAGGAGGCGGAGCTTGCCATGAGCCAAGATTGCACCCCTGCACTCCAGCCTGGGTGACAGAGCGAGATTCTGTCTCAAAAAATAAATGAATAAAATAAAATAAAATAAAATAAAATTACCTTCTTTCTTCTACTGGCAATTCTGCCTGCATCACTATCAGGCAAGGGTGACCTTCCCTTGGTCAAGCCCCAGTTGCCCATGATTTGTGCCTGTGTCCTTTCTCCAGTAACCATTTGGTGACAGATGGTAGATACAGAAAGGGGATGGCATTTGCAAGTGACTGGTCTGCCACAAAATGCTCATCTGATCAGCCACTGCTGCCCTGGTGATGGCTTTGTAAGAGTCAATGAGAACTAGAGCCATGCTGTGGTCCCTGGCCATCAACAGTGTTGATGACGGCAGGGAGTCCCTCTGGTTTAATAAATCCAGTTTTTCTTTGGGTAGCCACATTCTCCCTCCTTTTGTAGGAGTCAAGCTCTCAGAACCTGTGTCCATGTTGGAACTTCCCCCAGTGTGGATGCAGATATGCAACTCCTGAGTTCCGGCCTAAAATCTTCTGTAGCCTCAGCAATACCCGGGCACCTGCCATCTCACTGAATAGCTTTCTTTTGTGACAAAGGCCACAGACAGCCTTTAGACTATTCTGGAAACAGTAGGAAAAAGTACATATGTTTTTGACTTCTTTATTCTGACTCCACTGATTTTAGCCATAATACTTTAAGGAGCTACTTTTTACTACCCTTACCGTGCTGACTTCTGCAGGTCTGCCCTGTGACCTGTCAGGAACTCCTGAGTTACGCTACCGGGGTCACCTGTTGCTCCCCTAGCAAGTTAGATGTGTCATATATTTTTAACAGCTTTGTTGAGATATAATTCACATATTATACAATTCATCTTCAAAACATACCATTCAGTGGCTTTTGGCCTACTCACAGAGTTGTGCACCCATTTGAGAGCAAACACATGTTCAATTTTCTTTTCAATTTTTTTTTTTTTTTTTTTGAGACAGAGTCTTGCCTTGTCGCCCAGGCTGGCATGCAGTGCCATGATCTTGGCTCATTGCAGCCTCCCGGTCCTGGGTTCAAGCAATCCTTCTGCTTCAGCCTTCCCAGTAGCTGGGATTACAAGCATGCGCCACCACGCCTAGCTAATTTTTGTGTTTTTAGTAGAGACAGGGTTTCACCATGTTGGCCAGGCTGGTCTCAAACTCCTGGGCTCGAGTGATCTACCCACCTCGGCCTCCCAAAGTGCTGGGATTACAGGTGTGAGCCACCGTGCCCAGCCTACATGCTCAATTTTCTATGAACAAAGTCTTTAGTCCTTGACCCAGGGCTGTAGTGGTCTGTCCAAGCTGTTGTTGGTAGAGGGAGTGTGATAAAATGTTTAAATCTCATTTGGTTACCTTGAGTCCTGGAACACACAGTAACTCTCATCCTGTAGTCATCACCTGTACTTGGCTGGGAATACAAATGAAGATTGTGGTGTATTCAAAAGCAGGGTTTTTGTTTTTGTTTTTAATGCCAACAAAAATTCTTTTTGTCTGACTACATTAAAGATAAGACTGACTATATTTATACAACAGAAACTTTGTAATAGATTTTTTCAGCTTTGTGAAATAGAATTTTTGTCTCATCAGGACTGATCATTTCCTTTTTACTTTGTATTCCAAGCATTAATAGTTTGTTAGAAGATGGGTATTGCATGTCACTTTTTTTGTTTTTGTAAAATAAAAACATACCTTACAAGTTGTTTTTCTTGAACATGGGTTGGGTGGCTGGAGGAGTGAGTGGGAAATGTAAATGTCCTGGAAGCTTAAACTAAAGAGGAGAAGGATTCCACATTCGCAGAGAGGCAGAGAAAAGAGCACAGACTTTGGAACAAGATGGACATAGGCTAGAAACCTCCCACTGCTTGTTGAGAAATCAGTCAATAACTAAAGCCTCAGTTTCCACAATAATAAAATGCATCTAATGATACCCAACACCCCAAGATTGAATGAGCTCAAAAGAGGTAACTCATAAACCATCTCGCTCTGTTGCCCAGGCTGGAGTGCAGTGGCGCAAACTTGGCTCACTGCAAGCTCCGCCTCCCAGGTTCACGCCATTCTCCTGCCTCAGCCTCCCAAGTAGCTGGGACTACAGATACCCGCCATCAAGCCCAACTAATTTTTTTTGGTATTTTTTAGTAGAGACAGGGTTTCACCGTGTTAGCCAGGATGGTCTCGATCTCCTGACCTCGTGATCCGCCTGCCTCGGCCTCCCAGAGTGTTTACAGGCATGAGCCACTGCACCCGGCCTGCTTAGGTTTCTTTCGGGGAGCATGAGGCCAGCCACATAACAATAAATCCACAAGTAGAAGCAAAATTAGCTTCTTTGGGTGTGAGGTAGATTATTACAGACTAGATGTGGAGAAAATCCTAGACAATATCAAGGGCCTACCATTTCCCGGGGTCGCTAGATGTTTGCAATCTCTGCTCACTGCAGCTTCAGCCTCCTGGGCTCGAGTGATCCTCCCACCTCAGCCTCCTGAGTAGCTACAGGCATGCGCCACCACACCCGGCTAATTTTTGTACTTTTTGGAGAGACGGAGTTTCACCATGTTGCTGGTCTCTAACTCCTGGGTTCTAGAGATCTGCCCACCTTGGCCTCCAAAGTGCTGGGATTGCAGGTGTGAGCCAGCGTGCCCGGAGGGATTTTTCTGCTTCAGAACTTCATTCCAGTTGAGGGCACTTGATCCCCAAAAATAATTCTCTCAGCTATTAATAGATGAGTTGGGAACGTCACACTTTTCAGACTGAATGCACTAAGTGCCAGATGTTCTTCGTCAGGGTCCTTAGGTAATTTCTAGCCTTCAAACAGGCCTCTCCCTGCGAGTGCTTCCCACGCCAGTATCAACCCCCTGCTCTGTAGCCAGAACTCTTTTTCTTTTTTTCATGAAAACTTTTCTGGTAAAAGGCAGAAAACCTGCTAACCAAATTCTAAAAGAGAGTGTGGCAGCTCACGCCTGTAATCCCAGCACTTTGGGAGGGCCAGGCTGGAGGATCGCCTGAGGCCAGGAGGTAGAGATTATAGTGAGCTGTGATTGTGGATTGCACCACTGCCCTCCAGCCCGGGTGACAGAGGCAGACTCTGTCTGTTAAGAAAAAAAAAAATTCTAAAAGAGCTGGAACACTCAGAGCTGTT